ATAAAGTATTAAAAGAGCATGGAAAACATAAAAGTATATCGTATTACAAAATCCGACTTCCTGATTGGTCGATTTTGTTCGACCTTATGAATATTTATGATAAGCCGTAACGGCAATACAATATTTTAACGCTTTTCTATTCAAACCACGGGAAATATAAGTATTACCTATTCTACATGGCTAGATATAACCAGAGACATATAATATGTATTATATGTCTCTGATATAACTAAAACACGAATGTAAATTTGCCGACAGCCCGTCGAACGTGATAGAAATATACAAAGAAAGGGTACACGATACACAATTTTAGTTATAAAATTTGAGAAAATTTCAAACATTTCTCTGTCGAGTCTACAATATAACCATCTTTGCTGGAGTCCGATTTCCCTTTGTCACGTTTTTTCAAGAACCTGTGACTAACATCTGCGTTAACATCCACTGTGGCCCCACCTGATCTAAACGAGTGAAGAGCTATATGTTACAACCTGGACGAATATTTCTTGTACTCTTTAAGTCGACACACTCCTGCCGCCATGTAACAGCGTTTTTAATCTTTATTGATCAATTTGCACAAATTGCCTGACCTATAAATAGAATGACATAAATATGAATTCGCCTGATTGCTAATTCCAGTCAAAGATGTATAGTTAATTTACAAATTGTAGGGCTATATGCGTTTGTAGAACCTTTTGAAATGAATAAGTCATTGCTTTGCCTGAATCGATCAGTTTTGCTCTTATGTATATTTAAAATCAGAAAATTATCTTGTGTTTCAATGTAAAAAAGAACCCACAAAGAACTAACTAACTCTTCATATGTAAGGACACTTGCAAAACGTGTACATAAGTAAAATTAATTTCAGGTATGGTCTGTTTTATAAGATTTTAAGATATAAGAACTTTCAATGCGATATTTCAACAATAATATGAATTGCTATTTATATATGAATTAACCATGATGTCATAAACGTGTGTTTCAATCAGAATGGAAAAAAGTAGAAATAACATAAAGTAAGTATGTACTTAATGTATTGTTTTAAATAAAAATTACAACTAAGCAATATTATTTTGTGACATACTTGTTGGTAAAATATATTTTGTTATCATTTTTGAACAGCCTGAAAAATATTGAAATATTTAAAAGTAGCTAAAATGAAATTGACTGGAAAAAATTAAAATAAGAAAAAAAACCCCACTTAATTTATTACCACGTTTGACATGCATCTATTTGTTCCTTTTTAAAGAGTGTTTGGTAACGACATATGCATATCAAAATGATTTCGTATACAGATGGTTCGGCTATTGTTGTCCAAAATAAGTTTTGATTTGATTACCCCCCCCCCCCCCCCAACCCTTTTACACCCTTGTCTTCTTCCCTTCTTTTCTTGCTTTTCCTTCACAATAAACATGATAAACACAATAAAAACAAACGACCTTCTACAATGAGCAAAACCCATACCGCATAAACCTTCGAAATGACAAATGTACAACAATTAAAACGAGAAAAAGTAACGACCTGATTTATGTACAAAACAATAAACAAAAAACAAATATGATAAACAGCAACAAACGACAACCACTGAATTACAGGATCCTGACTTGGGACAGGCACATACATAATCTGGCGGGGTTAAGCATATTGTCTGGCGCCAAACCCTTCCCTTAACCTGGGACAGTGGTGTAACTATAAATACAAACTATAAAAATCATGTCATGTTTGATTTCAACACGAGGCATATAATAAAAGGAAATAACCAATTTTAGGGGCAGCAAAACATTTCAATTTCCAGCGCAGTAAAGCTAATATGATGTACCTTCATGTAATAATAAACTAAAGATAATGTGGGGAGGATACATTGTGTTTTCTAAATCTATTCAAATATTCTATTCTTTCTCTGATGGAATTCTAGCTAAGGTTGTGAAGCTAAGTAAGTCTGTCATGGGGCCTCAAATTACAACACTTATAAATACAACAATTGAGTATGGGTATTCCCTGACAGACTTAAAGAAGCACAGGTCACTCCAGTATTCAAGAAAAATGATGCGCTTCAAAAATCCAGTTATAGACCTGTAAGTGTATAATCTATATTATCTAAAATATACGAAAAAGTACTAGAGATCCAACTGGCTGATTTTTTTGACAATATTTTTAACCCATATCTATGTGCTTGTCGTAAGGGACATGGGTGCCAGACCACACTGCTAAGTCTTTTGAAAGATTGGCGAGAGGCCCTGGATAAAAATCATTATTTGGCTGCTGTTCTTATGGACCTCTCAAAGGCTTTTGATTGCCTTCCACATGAAATTTTAATTGATAAATTGCTCTCATATGGTATTAAGCCTTATTCAGTCTCTTTCTTAAATCATATTTAACTGGTACCAAACAGCAAATCAAAATTGGAAGCATTCTTAGCAGTTGGGCTGGCATTCAAAAAGGGGTACCGCAAGGCTCTATATTAGGCCCTATCCTTTTCAATGTATTTTTAAATGATATTTTTTATTTTATAAAATATGGCTCGCTGTATAATTATGCAGACGACAATACTTTGTCTTTTTCAAGTCCTGATTATGACAATCTTATATCAACCCTAAAACTGGAGTCAAATCAGCTGATAGAATGGTTTAGAATAAATAAGATGCAATCCAATCCAGACAAGTTTCAAGTGATTGCAGTTGGAAAGAAAACTTTTGACATGAACCCAACAAAGTTCAAAGTTCAAAATTAACTTGTGAAAAAATAGTAAAATTGTTGGGTATAGAAATTGACTATCAACTAAAATTTAACATCCATATTAGAAATATCTGTAGAAAGGCAGCTAAACAACTCAGTGTTTTAAAACGCTTAGGACCATATCTTTCTAGGCTAAATAAAATTACTATATTTCATACATTTTATTTTAAGCAACTTTAATTTCTGCCCTTTGGCATGGCACTTTTGCTCGGAAACTAACACTAAAAAACAAGAGAAAGTGCAGGAACGAGCACTTCGTTTTGTCTATGACAATTATACCTCGTCATATTTGGAATTAATACAGACAGCTGGGCTGTCTTCCCTACAGATCCGTCGTATCAGGACTATGGCATTGGAAACTTTCAAAATTCTTAACAATCTAACTCCCTCTTGTCTCAATAATCTGGTAAATAAAAAACAAACTAATTATTTTTTCAGGTATAGTAACATTTTGGATATTCCAAGGGTAAGAACTTCTTCTTTTGGCAAAAACTCTTTTCGTTTTGCAGCTTCTACATTATGGAATAGCTTGCCTGACCATTTCAGGACTGAAAATAACTTCTCCCAGTTTAAAAGCTTAATTCAGTCCTGGAATGGATCAGAATGTAGATGTAGTGCATGCAAGTAGTATTTTTTTAATTTGTTCTCATAGCTTTTAATTTTTTCTTTTACTTTTTAGTTGCTTATAGTGCTTAATGTTTTTGATTGCTTTGCATGGCTATTCTATTCATTTTATGTGTGCTTATATGTTCTGCTTATATATGTATGCTTTGATTGCCTTGCATGTATATTATATTTATTCTATGTCTGTATGTGTATGTATATCTGTTTTATGTTATGTGTTTTGTTTTATATATTCGTGAAAAGCTCTCAAGAGCTTATGTTTGTATGTTTTAAACCATGCCGAATCAAAAAAAAAAAGTTTCTTATTAAACAAAAAAATAATTCAATGAGTTTACGTGTTTAGCCGGAATTTCATAAAAATATCTAAAAAGAAATATATAAATGCGAGACAATTTTCTTTATTTACATATTAAGTAAAACTAATTTCAGGTGTGGACTATTCCAAAAGATTTATAATTTTTAGACCACTAACAGATTTATATTTTCATTCTTTCCACATCATATTTTGTTGATTAATATATAATAACACATTTGTATACAACATTTATTTGAAAGTTTTGAAGAAGTTCACATTTTTTCTTTAAATACGTACTTCCCTGTATTGATAGCAAAAGTTTCAATACAATATTTCAACCAAATAATGAATTGATATTCAAATGCATTCACCTTGATGTCATAAAAGTGCAAATCACGAGTTATGAAATAAGGATTCCCTTTCTATATTTAGTAAAGGAAGTGTTTTGGAAGTATCATGTTTATTTATATTTTCTCAACTTGTTTTTCCAAAAAGAATACATTTTAGTAACATTTTTGAATATTAATATTTTTGACACTCCGTTAAAAGGCAGCATAAATGAGAACTTTGCTGAAAAGAAATTAAAACAAGAAAAACAATCAATTATTACCACGCTTGACATGCATCTTTTATTTCCTATTTGAAGCGCGTTTGGTAATGACATATACATATGTATCAAATGATTTCGTATAAAGTTGGTCCTATTGTTTGTCCAAAATAAGTTTGATTCGATCAATTTCACCGTTTACACTCTTGTTTTTCTTTTCTTTCCTGCACAATAAAAATGTTTGACCAGTTTCTTAAAAAAATAGGGTAACAGATTAAATTCTTTCTTAGAGTGATAAACTTGCTGTACAATTAATATTTGATTTAAACATGAGGCATATACGTACACAGAAAGCTAATGGTATGTACCTTCAAATGTGTAATTACATGTAATAATCAACAAAAAATAATATGGGGAGGACACATTTTGCTAACAAATACATAATTCAATGAGTTTACGTGTTTAGCCGGAAGAATTTCATAAAAATATCTAAAATGAAATAGATACGAGAAAATCTTCTTTAGTTACATAAGTAAAATTAATTTGAGGTATATATATATGGACTATTTTAAAAGATTAATAATTTTTAGACCATGAAAAGATTTATATTTTCATTCTCTCCACATCATATTGAATAAATTGACCTTGATGTCATTAAAGTGCAAATCACGAGTTATTTTTTAAATTTAGAATAACGAAATGCGTTGGAAGTACAATGTATATTTATAGTTTATCAAATTGTTTTCCGAAAAGAATATGATTTTCATAGAAAGGAAAAAAAGTATAAATAAAATAGAATAATTATGTACTACATTTATTCATTTTAAATAAAGATTACAACTGAGCAATATTTGTTGTGACATATTTTGTTGCAAACGAAAACATTTTGGTATCAGTTTTGAAGGTTAATATTTGTTCGTTCTTCCATGTCTTCAAAAGGTTGCTTGGATGAGAACTTTGCTGAAAAGAAATTAAAATAAGAAAACAATGAAGTTAATACCAAGTTTGACATGCATCTATTAGTTGGTTTTTAAAAGTCGTTTGTTAATGACTTATGCATACCAATATGATTTCGTATAAAGTTGTCCGGTATTGTTTATCAAAAATTATTTTGGATTTTATTGATTCCTCCGTTTATACTTTGTCTTCCTCTCTTTTTTCTCCACAATAAACATGTTCATAAGTTTCTCTAAAATAGAAATACAAAATATTAAATTCATTCTTTTTGTGCAAACCAAATCAGGTCTTTTTGTGCAATACATATTTAATTTCAACATAATTAGGCTGACGAATTTCATAAAATAATTTAAAAAGAAGAAATAGCTGGGAGAAAATATTGACACGTCAAGTAAAATTCATTTCAGAAATGGGCTGTTTTATCATTGATTTGTTCATATTATGTAAATTTACGGTTGATAAAATGTTGAATTATTCGAAATACTAAGGGGTTTCTTTTATTAACCTCAGTCAAAGATTGCCTAAGCCGTATTTGGCACAACGTTTAATGCTCTTCAACTTCGTATTCGATTTTGCCTTCTAACTGTTTTGACTTGAGCGCATCTAAGTAATCAGTCCTATGTCGACGAAACGCGCGTCTTGCATGACAAATTATAATCCTGGTGTCTTTTTCAGATCCAGAACAGAATTATATTATTATTCTCCCCACATTCTCTTTTGATGATTAAAAATAAATTAAGGCGACAGTAGTTCAAATTTCGTAAATCGGGTGGGAAAAGACAAATCAAGGGAACAAACAAATATTGAAGGAATCGCATGAACTCAATAAGGAGCGAGATAAGCGTCGGCAGTATAAGCGTCTCTTGTTATGCATGCATCACACGCCATCCGAATTCACACTCAGTCAAAATGTCGCGATCGCGGGAAAAGTACAATGTCGATATAATTACAGACCAGCGACTATACTGTTATCTGCAGACCTGAAACCGCGAAAACGTGTCGATAGTGATCTGAGACACAGAATCATCGTTCAGGGCAACCAAGATTTTTATGACTTAAAATAAGAAATTTTAATGTACGTTACCCATTTTTGTAAACAAAAGCTCTGTTTAAGAAGACGATGTAGTCAATTTTGTAATTGAGCTTGGTGAATAGTAATTTGAAGCGTAGATAAACCAAAGGTTTGATATTACTGCAATATTGTAAAGATTGTGATTGATGTTTTCATAGTAGATCTTTAGATCTTTTTTAAATTCACACCTGATTGACACCGTTTGTTTAAGATACCGTATTACAATATTTAATAAGGCTATCTTTTACTGTTGAAAGAATGGTTGTAAGAATGATAGAAATATTCTAAGTCGAACAACTTGACTACCAGGGTATATATTGTTCTTTATGAGGTTTTTGGTGAAGTTAAGGTATCCATTATAAAGATAGGAGAACTTAATCGTTTTTTATGTTAATATCAAAGGAAGAAAAGGCGGATTTGTGATTTTCTAAAATCTCCTCTTTCGTGAATGATGAAGGGGTTTGCATGATATTCTCAGTGTTACTGTGAATTTTAAGTTCTTTAGTAAGATATTTCAAATAATGGCCTTTACATATTAAAAAAATGTTGTTTGAGGCTTTGTCTGCTCGACCAACAACATATTTGTCGTGAATAGTAAATAAAGCACCCACAATCTAGGGCTTCTTAAAATAATCAGAAACTCGTGACCTCATTGTACATTTTTGAATGCGCACCTGAATGCATGACCGAACAGCTTTGATCCATTCAGATAAAGTGTCCAGTTTTGGCTCAACTAGCTCGCGCTTTACCCATTTTCTGGAGCAGTCCTCGAATTCATCCATTGGTAACCTGAAGTTCTTTCTCCAGTTGATGGTCTAGGGATTTCTATATTTCATGCCTTTGGCTAACAAGCCTCTAAGAAATTCATTGTTTACGATACCAAGATCTCCAGTTATAACATAATCAGCTGGACTTAATTTCCATGGGGACGATGTACAAGAGAAATTTTACATCCCTGTGGGTAAAGGTCTTTAAATACATTCTTGTTGTTGACAATCTTACAGACGATAGGTTTGGTGTAGGTATATGAATTTTTCTTTGAAGTAATCCGGTATTGTTTTCTGCACAGATTTTTGATTGAAAATATTGCTAATATTGATGGCATCCAAACACTTAGAAATTCTTCATATTTTTTCACCATCTTAAAGTAGTTATCACTGGAGTAATCAATGTCTATAATTATTGTAACCAATCTGTACATTTTTTTTGCAGAATTTTTATCAATAACAGAAGTGTTATTGTCCTCTTAATACAGTGAATTCACACAAGGTTTATGAACAGAGAATGACGAACCATCTGTAGACACGGTTTGAACTGCGGGTGGTGTATATGTTCGATGACCGTGACTCCAACTGTTTCGAACAGAGGTGTTGAATAATTTAATTTGTTGATACCTGGGACTAGACAAAATATCTTCACCAACAATTTTGTCGTCGCATTCGAAAGGGATAGCTGTTTCCAATTCTTGGATCGGGAAATCCTCTCTTTGTAAGCGATCTGCTGTAATATGGGATCATTTATTGAATGATCGATTTTCTCTGCAATCCCGACTTTCATAGAAATAATGGAATGGTCAGCCTGTTGAACGTATTTATACAGAAATTTATTGTTCTCATGACTATTAACAATAGACCGGTGATAATTTATTCCTTTGTTAAGTATTTGCCGATATAGTTTCACTAACATAGATCAGGCTACAAAGAGTACACTCAATACCGTTCACAATATTAGAAGCACTACAATTCAGATCCTACTGACTACGTGTATTGTAAATTTACTTTGAAAATAGGTATCAGTAATAAGTATAGCACAAATTCTACAGTTTGTACGATTACATTTAGAAATGAAACAATGTTGCAAGTTCTCGTTGAAATCTAATATATCTGAAAGTTGAACAGTACATTGGTCGAATATAAATAAACTTGTCTGAATTGTAGTATAAAGAGGAATCCGAAGACTTCACAAGGTTATTTTCATGACATCGTAAGCTGATCCTAAGGACACCTATTTAATTCCGAGTTGTTGTGTACATGACAACATTCGATTGACACCTTTTTATCCTTGGCGACGTGCAATCAGGTACATTCAATTTAGTTCTTTTTCTACTATATGATATGCAGTTAAGCTACCTGGCTGGTAGAATCCTCGGGGACAGTTCTGCCGCTAGCTGAGATTCTGACCCGGTAGTGATAAATTAATAAATGATACATTTGTATATAACATAATTTTGAAAGGATTGAAGAATTTTCGCATTTTTCCTTTTTATACTTCCTTCCATGTATTGATAGTAAAAGTTTCAATGCAATATTTCAACAAGAGAATGAACTGAGATTTAAATACATTTACCTTTGTGTCACGAAGTAAGGATTCTTTTTCTAAATTTAGAATAAGGAAGTTTTCTATTCCTTTTAAGTATCGTTATATGTTCTCTTTTAGTTTCACAAGAAGGGTATGATTTTCAATTAGAATGGAAAAAGCAGAAATAAAATAAAGTAAGTCTTTCATACATTTATTCATTTTAAATAAAGGTTACAACTAAGCAATATTAATTGTGACATATCTTGTTGCAAATGAATTGTGGTAACATTTTTTAGCATAAATATTTTTTCATAATCTCCTTTAAAAGGTGGCGAAAATGAAAACTCTTCCGAAAAGATCTTAAATGAAATAATTACTACGCTTGAAATGCATCTTTAAGTTCAGTTTTTTAAAGCGTGTTTGGAAATAACACCTTATTATCAGTACAATTTCGTATAAAGCTGGTCCTATTGTTTGTACAAAATGAGATAAGATTTGATGAATTTCCCCGTTTACACTTGGTCTTTGTTTTTTCTTTCCTTTACAATAAACTTGTTTCATCATTTTTTTCTAAAAAAGGACAAACAAATTAAATTCTTTCTTGTTGTGTTCAAAAGAATCATGCCTTATGCAAAAAATATTTGATTTCAACATGAGGCATATAAGTATACAGCAAAATCTAGTTTCATGACCAGCAAAACCTTACCTATTTGACAGCAATGTTCCTCTTGCCATATCATATGACATTTCACTAGCATAATGGTTTCCTTGATAGAGGATTGCTGCTCACAAGGACGCTATTAAACCAAGAGCTCCAAGTAATGAAGTTGAAATCATCCCTTCGTAAATTTTATGAACGCCATCACGAGTTGGTTGATCGTTATGGAATATCTGTGACAACGGATATGTTCCAATTGTCGTAACTACAATCCAATACCCTTTTCCCCGAATGTGACCTACCGAATTAGACTTATCACCGGGTTTGTACTAACATGAGCAACACGACGGGTGCCACATGTGGAGCAGGATCTGCTCACCCTTCTGGAACACCTGAAATCACCCCCAGATTTTGGTGGGGTTCGTGTTGCTCAGTCTTTAGTTTTCTATATAGTGTTTTGTGTACGATTGTTTGTTTGTTTGTCTTTTCTATTTTTTTTAGCCATGACGTTGTCGGTTAATTTTCGATTTATGATTTTTAATGCCTCTTTGGTATCTCTCGCCTCTCTAGTACGGTTTTAAAAGAATTTAGCAAATTAAGCATAAAAACCTTGCTTTAACACATGTATGTTACTTGTAAAAGGTTGCATATACCACATATTTTGACTAATTTCAACCAGTTTCACGACAGTTTTCAGCATCCACAATGTGTCTCAGTAAAACTTAAGAGTTGTCGCTATTGCTTATCCTACCTTCTATTGTAACGTTGTTTAAATATTGATAAAAAATATATATTTAAACTTGATAAAGATCTAACACTTTTAAACAGCAAGGCTTACAAGTGTGCCATAGTTATAAATTCCATTAAAATGACCCTTTCGTCCAATCGCCTGACGATTTTAAATACGTTCTGACCTCTCATACGTACTGCCGATTCCTATCAAATGTTATGATGATACTTCATGAAACCCGTAAAGATGAGTAGTGTCATTTTTCTTCTTGAGCGGCAGTATCAATATGAGAGTACATTAGCAGGCTTCCTGTATAAAGGAGGACATTTTGACATTGGTTTCCATATTAAATGCCATCTGTTATTTCCTTCTTCAAATTTGAAGTCATTCTGTTGGTAGCTGCACTAAACAGATTTTTCATTGTGTGTTTTACTTTGACGACATCTCTAGCTATCATTTACTATTAACTGTGTTGCATAGACAACGACCTAAGTTTAGCATAGTTGTGGACATACCGCTGATAAGTTATCTGTTAATGAGATAATTTCATGTTTAATTTCATTATATTATGATTGATATTAATGAAACTATAACTGTTTTCTTCTTGCCTACATCAGGACTTAATCTTCCTTCTTTCTTTCTATTGATGGTATTCCATTTGCTATAGGGACTGAAGGTTGAGAACAAATCCTCTGGGAAAATAAAATTGCTAATCTGATGTAATAAATTTACTTATTAGCCATATATTTTTCATTTTGAGAATAAATTAAGTTAACTCTAACATACAACCTTCTGGCTTTCAAATACTCGAGTGTACATGTTGAAGATTAATCCAAAAAAGCGTTTTGGACGCATAACATTTATAAAGTGATAATTTCGTTTTTTTTTATTGGGTCGAATGCAGGTTCTGGACTATCATTCCCAGAGTATATCATCAGCTCATCATTAGTCAGTATTTAGGTACATCTTTCTATATTGTCCGCTTATAAATTTATAAATTATAAAAAAACTAAGGTTTCAACTCCCTCAGGCAAAGCTGACATTAGATGAATTTGGTTGTTATTTTTAGGTCTCTTTCTGCTCTTCATCTGTTTCTGTTCTTATTCATGTTTGGCTTTCAAATATTCGAATATTCGGCTTTGAGTGTTCCCGAGGAAGGTAAATCCAGAAAAGCGCTTCGGACGCATACACTTTATAAAGTCTTATTTCCATTTTTTTCCACACAACACTTAAATCTATTATTTTTTAAATCAGTTTATTTCATTCTTATCTATGAACCCCTCCCCTAATCCTGGACAGTGGTGTAACAGTACAACATAAGAACTTTAAATCAGTTTAAAGGGTTTAAACCCTAACAAGAACACAAAAGAAACAAAGTACAGATCTGAGAGTACTCGCAGTTACTGAAAGCTAGTGCAGAGCTAATAACTGCTAATTAATAATCATGTGTCGTAGACTTAATTATCAATCAATACACATCCAACATCTAAAGGATTTAGTGTTAAGACGTCTTTAACATTTAGAGAAAACACGACATTGTGCAATGTCAAAATATAGGTATCGACAGATTGTGGAACCGTGTATGTGCATATGTGTTTAACAATACTTTTTAGTTTTTACCAATAGAAACAATATTCAAAGATCTAATTACAGTGTTGAATCGGTAACCTTTTAGAATAAGTTTATTTTTTAAAGGATCGATAGGTTTGCCCGGATCGTATCTAAATTTACGTGCTCGGTAAACACCATCATTGTAAAAATTAGGACGTGCTATCCCGTTTGTAAAAAGTTAGGTAAAGGTAAAGCCAAACTTTCAAACCAAATCTTTGTAACTATGGAAGAATTTAGTAAAGGTTTTAAGTAATTTGTGGTAACGAAATCTTTGACTCTATAATGTATCTGTAATACATAGATCACGTTCATTGAAATCCAAAACATCACTACAGACACAGGCATAGCGAACGAGTTGGGATATATAAACACCGTAAGATGATGCCAAAAGAATGTCACCGTCCAAAAAGGAAAATTAACAATAGGGAACGAAAAATATATGATATCGATTTCTATTCGCTCGCTCTAGTCGCTGTAAGACTGTCAACAGTTGGAAGTTTGATGCGCTGTAAAACATCCTTTCCACCAATTTGTAAGGAACTTTCAACATTAATTCAAAGTATAGTAATATAATTTATAAATAAAAATGTCACAATCATATGCAACTTGTTGGATGGTACAATGTACCCAGCGGAACGCACATTCAGTTAAATTTGTAATTCACCTAGTAGTATTAAAAGACGGTAGTTTTCCGAGTGTGGCATGTTTCTGGCGTAATCTTAGATGCTAGAGATAATAAATTAGATTTGAAATATATTCAAGTACACGTTAGGAAATATTAAAGCGAAAAGAGCTTAACTAGAACGACCAAAAATCATCCGGCTACAGACAATGGTTTAATTAGTCTGAAGCATCCGGTACAATATAATATCAATTTTCTGAAGTTATTCCTAAATGGATTTGGTTGCATTTGTGACATTTACACAAACAAATCTTTACAATAATATTTATTATTAAAGGGGCATCAGCTACGAAATATATGAAGAAAAAAAAATTGTTTTTGTTCAATCATTAATGAAAGTGATATAGTGAAATAATAATTCGTTTTTAGCAGTCAATTTGGTTCAATTTTGTCAAAATAAGCTAAGAAACATCGCTGATGAATAATTCGATCTCATTGAATCCGTATTCATGTCACCTTCAATTTAACCCCTTAGCTGGACATGAGTTATTCATGTATTCAGCTATTTAAAGAAAAAAGAATATCAACATTGAAAGTGAAACAAAGATGAACCGTTTGGTTGGCTGATTCGATCCACAAAAAATCATTCTTGTATAGGTAAAAACGATGATTAACATACTTTTAACCTACAATATGAAATCAAACAGACCAAGAAAGATCCAATTGACGTGGTCACTATCTGTTTATATTTATGTTTATATCGGGTAATGTGACCGTCGGCAGTCTTCGGAGGTCATCTCGATGGTTAATTAGATGGCGTATAGACAAAAATTACACGAAATATTGATATATATTATCGAGTTCATGTATTGTTAATTTGTTTATTTTAGACATTTTGTAATTTGGATATACGTTTTAGTATGTTATAAATCAAATATGAGAATTTGAGTCAAATCGGTGAATATGAATTTGACAGTTAATGCCTCTTTAAATGTATCGATGAATGATTTTTTCCTTTACAAAACATTTAAGTCTGGATTTGGCAAACTTTTGTCCTTTTTGGTTTTATCACTTCTTCAAGTTTTTAATAAGTTTTGGATTTTTAAATATTTTGGCCTCGAGCATCACTAAAGGAAATTGTCGAAATAGGCATCTTGTGAAGTAAAATTAGTACAGTTAATGTTATTAAATAAGACTTGGTTCTTATGCTATTTGCAGCTATTTAGTGGTTTCTGTATTCTGATTTATGTCTTATATATGAAACGGTAATATATATATATCTAAATTAAAAGTATGATTCTTATACACTGGTGATTACAACTGCATTCTAAATAAAAAAAAAAATATAATACAAAACCTCTAATGCATTATTTAAACTTCGATACCCAACTCAATTCTAAATATTTAAACCAAGGATAACACACGAACGCCATACAGCTTATTTTCATTTGGGTCCTTTACAAGTATCGGCTTACTTTATGAGTTATCCTTTTAATCATTAAAATACTTATCATTATCTATACATAACATTTCTTTCAAATTCTGCACTAGAACGTTTCTAATGACATTTTACTTCTTTTCTAAATACTGTTTACCTTATTAGATATGATACTTTTTTCTTTTTATCAATTCTAATTAGTGTATACTTCAGCGGTCATTATAATCACATGATTACATAATAAAAAGTTATTTTTTTAGATGACAATGATGAGCTTGGAGAGTTGGAATACGTTAATCTGGTTATTATTATATGTAAATACAGCAACCTCATTTCAGGTATGTCTGTCACTCCAATTGTGACAATATCATTACATTAAACTTAATTGATATACTAGTAATCTTATTAAATCTATCCAATTAATGGGCAAACATAATTAAACAAACACAAATACTAACGCACATACATTCAAACAATCCATTATCCTGATATGACTACATCGACACAATTTTGTGAATGTACCAAGTGGGGTATATATACTCGCAATGTGAAAGAGTCTATGTGCGTCAAAACTGTAGACTTGAAAAGGTTCCTTGTTGTCATTATTCACAGATCATACTTACATACAGTTTAAATACTATGACAATGCAAATCACACACTCTCCAAAACCGAATTTTGTTTTTGCCCTTTGATATGAGAACTACGTCAATATATCAAAGCAGGAGACAATATATTCTAAAACTTAATTCAATAATTCTAACTACTTCCATTGAAGTAAAGATCCCAGATGTACATGTCACAACACTAACTGACCTGAAACCAACTTTATTATTAACATCATTGCGACTTTGCATTGGCTCCTTTGTTTTTGCAGCGAACCTTTCGGTTTATATGTTATGCATTTAGCAAAAGTTCTTATACCCCTATTTTTGACATTTTTGCCTATTGTGTCTGTTTGTTTTGTTCACGCATCGTTGTCAATATAATGGAATTTGATGCGACTGTCATACAAGTGAGAGGTTTAGCTAGCTTTAAAACCAGGTTCAATCCACCATTTTCTACATAAGAAAATGCCTGTAAAGAGTCAGGAATATGACAGTTTTTATCCATTCGTTTGGTGTGTTTGAGCTTTTGATTTTGACATTTGATTGGGGACTTTCCTTTTTGAATTTTCCTCGGAGTTCAGTATTTTTGTGATTTTACTTTTTTCCTAATTTCTAACATGTTGCACAGATGATATCGGATATGTTCCTTATGTCGTAACTACAATACCCTTCCCTTTTCACGAATGTGACCTACCGAATTAGACTATTTACCGGATTTGTAATAACATAAGCAACACGACGGGTGCCACATGTGGAGCAGGATCTGCTTACCCTTCCGGAGCACCTGAGATCACCCCCAGTTTTTGGTGGGGTTCGTGTTGCTTAGTCTTAAGTTTTCTATGTTGTGTCATCTGTACTATTATTTGTCTGTTTGTCTTTTTATTTTTGGCCATGGCGTTGTCAGTTTGTTTTCGATCTATGAGTTTGACTGTCCCTCTTGTATCTTTCGTCCCTCTTTTGCAAAAAGAATTGATGCAGTGTTTTAGTCATTGCATTTCAGTTTTGAAAAATACCATAATAAGACGTGAGAAGAAAAAGGAAAAAAACAAAGTCGTTTGGATAAAGATTACTGTAAATTCAGAAATTATTGCGATGTTTTTATCATTGCGAAAAATGCGACAGGGTGATAATCGCAATAATTTAAACTCGCATTCAATTTTTTTATATGAATTACACAGGATTTTTTATTCAATATCGCAAAAACTAATATAACATTCCAATAGGAACTACTCTTAATCCGTACTTCTGTTATGAATTTCAAAGGCTTGACAATTAGAACAGGAACTGATGGTCCCCCCGGAGTACATAATTTCAACTCCAGTTTTCGGTGGGATATTTATCGCTAGTTTTTGGTTTCTTTGTAGTGTTCTTCTGTTTGTTGTTTTTTGTTTGTCTTTTTGATTTTTTGATTTATTTTTGAATTGGTGTTGTCTGTTCTTCTTTTACTTGCAGTTATTGATTTTTCTTTTGGTGTCTTCAAACTTTTTCACCTTGATGTGAAAGTTAAGCTGGAAGACTCTTAACCAAAACTTCGTTTTTACTATAAACGAGATGATTTTTTTCCATTTATTCATTGTATTGTTCCTAATAAAGGATGAATAGGTTTATTTTTCTAATTTGATCTAAATGGTGATGTTTGCAGCTATTCTAGCATAAGGTTAGAAAGTCGTGCAGCATCCCATGGATTTTGTTTAGACACAAATGCATTAAGGTTTTAGTGGTACCCTGCTTCTCACGTTTGGTTGCTGTTGTCAAGTGTAGAAGTTTACTGTTGACAGCCAAAAAACTAAGTCCATTTACCCGTAAAAACAAAATAATAAAGTAGATAACAAACATTATGACGAAGCTTCTGTCCAAGTGTTGTAAAATTCCATAATTATTTCACAATTTTGACTAAGTTTTATAATCTTTTAGCACAGAGAGTACCCTAATATTGACGGCAAAAACAAAAAATAAGAAAAAATAAAAGAAATAAATCTATTTATAATTAAGATATGGAAAATATACCGTAAACAAATTAAATTTTACTTTAGATTTTATTTCATGATTATAAATATTGTTTCCTGAAATTCTATTGAGGTTTAAAAACAGTCGTAGATTTTTTTTTAATCTTACACGGTAGACTGTATCTAAGTATTGCATCTCATAAAAAACTGACACTGTAAACAAACAAACAAAAAAATAAAACAAAGTTCATTTATCAATAAAATACAGAATGTAAGACTAAATTTCTAATATTTCTTTCAAATGCGATTATTTTATCACGAAGACGTTTCTGAGCATCATTCGTAAGATTCAATGAAGGTGTTTACAAACTTATTTATGTCTTATAAACATTAATCCAAAACTTAAAATAAATGCTAATCTTAAAATACCGAAAAAAAAAGAAAAAAATCAATTAATCACAAAGTGTTCTCGATCGCAAAGAAGTGTTTGTTCAAGTTTCATAAATTCCATGAAGGTTTAAGGAAGATATTGATGTTTTTGCTTCAATTGTTGTCTTTTGACCATGGAAAAGCTTCTCTCCAAATTGTTAATATGAAATGAAGAAAATAAAGTATCATAACCAATGTGATAACTATCAACTAGAGACCAAAATGACGTGGATGTAAGCAAATATAGGTCACCGTACTGCCTTCAACAATCATTTAAAGCCATTCTGTAAAGTAAAAGGCACCGGCAAAAGAAATATGAAAGAATTCAAGAACTCAAACGCCTGATTTATGTTAAAACAATAAACGACAGTCACACTGAATTACAGCCTCCAGATTTCGGACAGGTACATAAACATTGTGACTGGGTTAAAAACGTTTATAAGTGCTCAACCCTTCCCTAACCTGGGACATTGCATTTGGTGTAACAGCAAACCATAAAAACAATCTGTCAAATTAAGATGGAACGGACCGGACTCAGCAGAATGGGTACGAAGCACAAAAAAACCCCTAAAAAACAATGAGACAAAAAACACGAAGTACCGATCTAAGTATTCTCAGATAATGAAAGTTGGTTCACAGCCAATTACAACTAAACATACATCACGTAAATATTTAGTCTTAGATGCATGATTTTTTTATTAGTTGTTATTGGCTTTGAACTAGCTGTCAGTAACTGCGAGTACTCTCAGATCTGTGCTAAGTGTCTTTTTGTTGTTGGGATGTACAAGTACCCGTCCACGTCCAGGCCACTTTGTGTTTTTGTTAGATGTATTTCTATTTGTATCCATCTGATGAGTTAAGCCTTTTTCAACTGATTTTTATAGTTTGTTCTTATGTTGTACTGTTACACCACTGTCCCAGGTAAGGGGGAGGGTTGGCGCCTTCAAACTAGTTTAACCCCGCCACATTCTGTATTTGCCTGTCCCAAGTAAGGAACCTGTAATTCAGTGGTTGTCGTTTGTTGCTGTGTTACATATTTGTTTTTCGTTCATTATTTTGTACATAAATTAGGCCGTTAGTTTTCTCGTTTGAATAGTTTTACATTTGTCATTTTGTGGCCTTTTATAGCTGACTATGCGGTATGAGCTTTGCTCATTGTTAAAGCCATACGGTGACCTATAGTTGTTAATTTCGGTGTCATTTGGTCTATTGTGGAGAGATGTCTCATTGAAATTCATACCACATCTTCTTTTTATGTATGCATAGATCAGTACACATCTAACGAATTAAGTATAAAGACATCTCAACCAGTTTCAGAAAAAGCTCGCCTTTGCTAAATATAATTATTCATCACTAGCAATAAGCGTTCATAAATAGCAATATATATGTCAATACGTTTTAATGTATTAGAAACAAAATTAATGTAAGTACCGATAAAGACAATATTCGTAGATCTCACTACAGTGTTCAACTTATGATCTTTTAAAGGATCAATAATTTTACAGTAATCGTATATATGTGACAGGCTTTATAAATAACAATAACTATTAAACTTGGATGTGATATCCTGTTTGTTATAAGGTTTACACTGGTACAGCCAAACTTACAAATCAAATCTTAGTATCTATAATAGAATTTAGTAAAGGTTTTGAGAAATTTGTGGTAACGAATTGCATGACTTTATTATTTGCAAGTATTAAATAGCTTACTTTAGAAATAAGAAGATATAGTATGGTTACCAATAAGACAACTGTCCACTAGAGACCGAATGACGTAGGTGTAAGAAACTATTTAAATCTAACATATATGTTACTACAACTACGGGCGAAGCGAACGAGATGTGAAATATATACACTGTATTTAATAGTGTACTCAGTATATACTGTCGACTGACACTTTAAGAATAGTCATCAAAATATGATTAACAGACGTTTTTTATTGTATAATATTGGATATAATCAAAATTATATTCTCAAATAGTAAAGTATTTAAAATATTATTTTTAGCATCATAACATAACTGATCTGTTATTGGTCGGTTGGTGAATAAAACATAAATGCAATATCGTGACAGTGAAACAATGAAATAACAATACCAATGAAACGAGAATAGTGGCGATATACTGGATGATTTAATACGTGAAATTTCCTTTAACTTTCCAACTTTACTATGAATAGAAGAAGTTCTTTATCTTTTAAAATTTGTTAGACTCAAAACATTTTTGATTGTATGTCAATTCAATTTCACTCATGCATAGCTCTGATTCCTAGTCAGCCTGTTGGTTATACTTTTTGTCCTTTTTGGTTTTATCAGCTCTTTTGGTCTCAAGTATCACTGAAGAGACAGTTATTGTCGAAACGCGTATCTGATGAAGTAAAATTGGTTTCGTTACTGTTGTTAAAATGTTCAAGTTGTGAAAACTTGCAAACTATTTCTAGAAAATTCTCTAATGAAAAAAAAAACTTTTATAAAACTGCAACAATACAAAAATTATGAAAAAAATAACGTTATTTGTATTGCTTTGTAATTGAAATAACGAATGAAATATGTTCATCTTCTTGTCATTGTATATTGCACTGTTTGATTTGATATGATTTGATTTATTGTTTTATTGAGATTTTATTTACATATTAATAAAACTATCTGATTAAAATACTTTGCATTTCACTCAACTTTCATATTCACTAATGTCACACATAAAGTTACACGAAGAGTATATGACTGAAATCATGTCGTAGGAACTTATACATGCCGCTCAAAAAATATAAGTAAATAAAGTAACAGTTTATATATCTGTTAAGGCTTAAAAATAAATCAAATTCTGATTTACATTATCAGCCTTTTATCGTTGATGAGTTTATTTATTATAATAAATTTTGATCTATAATTTACTGTAAAAATTGTTTTGGTCTATTATAGAGTGGGTGACGCATATTCGCCGCAAAATTCGTTCATTTTCACCTACATCCGACCTACATTCGAATATTTGAAACTTTTTATGTAGGTTTCAGAAAGTTTACTATATGAAAAAAATGTTTGATAAAGGAATTCTCTTCAAAACATTGGTTAAATGTTTTAAAAATGAACGCAAACTCGAGAGGAAATCAAGTTGTTCTTGTACCATGGGGGACACATGTTCGCCGCAATGTATGATATGACCATCCTCATTATCCTTGTATATTATAAAAACAATTGTTTGCAATTACATGAATTAGCTTGAGAGATCATTCCTATGCGATTTTTCTAACAGATATTTACTTTATGACTGCGCATGCGTGCCATATAAATATTACATAATTGCCAAAATCGTTCAAAAACACCTGCGTATTTCTTTATATGTGCGAATAACATTGGAAATGGGGTAAAGAGGAATATCAACAGTTCGAACATTACAAACAGCGTTTAGCATCTTTTTAGGCAAGTATTTGGTAAAAGCACACGAAATTTACAGAAAAATAGCAAAAACGGCGAAAATGTGTCCACGGCGAATATGCGCCACCCACTCTACATATATTTAAAATGTTGCCTTTTATAATAGCCATAGATTGGTGTAACAACAAATTACTGGTTAAAGTATTTAAAGTATTAACACTTTATCTTAAGAGACTTCAATATATTTTGTACAGTAATTGGTTTAATGAATCTGGTAAGGACACGTATCAGTAATTCAAGACACAATCGTAAACTCTAAATGCCTCTATTCCATTGTAGAAAAAAATATAATCCAATAATTAAGTCATGTTAATGCATGCAAACTTTTTTAAATACTAAAACATACAATACAAAAGAATTTTAAAACAAAGGTATATAAATTTCTTTATCACAACCAATATGTATCCAAAGAAACATCAATTGCTAACTCTTTAATATAATTGTTTCTGTTAAAATTTAGAAAAACATCTGTTTTAACACATTATTTTAGCAATATTGTCTGTTACAAAAAGTGTTTAGTCATGACAATATCCGATTCATTGTAGTATTGAACTCCACTGTAAACACAAATATATCGAATCATATGGAAATTTAAAATATGTAAGAGGAATTCTTGGAATATCAACAAACAAAGGGAACTTATCACCAGAGAAGAAATACTTATAATACTCCGTTTTCATAATCATTTAGACATTCGTATACCAAAAATCTAAAAATATCACTCCTTATATTAAAGTGCAATATGCAAAGAGTGTTTTCAATAAAGTGTGTATTCAAAGAAAAATTATATAATATATTGTGAGAATATCTGTCTGAGTAAATATGTGGATAATTGTTGTTCTCTCGAAAAATTATCATGAGGGACAACTATTAAAAAAGAATATATGATGAACATAATAATTGCATTTTTGTTCCCCAAATTCCTATTCTTGAATAATGACATATCTTCTGACCAGGCTTGTGACTATTATGTATCTTAGTTGATAAGATTTGTCAGAGATCGTTGTCATTAATACCATATCTTTCTTAAATAATCACTTGACAAATTAAGAAATTATTAAAAAACTAAGGTATTAACTTTCTCAGGCAAAGTTGACCTTCAATAGACTTGGCATTTTTTATATGCCCCTTTTGGTTACAAAGCTCCACATGTATTCAAGTACTCAAACATCCCTGTCTTTCAAAGGGTTGAGTTTGAGCGTTCCTGGGGCAAAAAAAAATTATGACAATTGTCAGGACGCAACATATTTATAAACTGTTTTTTTTCATTGTCATTGTGGTGATTTCGGTAACAGATGTAAAATGACTGAACTTATAATTTCAAAATTTGCAGAACCATCTTTATAAATTGGATGATGCATTGTCTCGGTTTGTTAACTCACTCATAAAATTTTAAATCCTTTATGTCCCTCCTTCATTAAAACTTACTTTTGGGTGTGAATTCAGAGTTATTGTACAAGTGAAGCCTGTATAATGGCTTACATCCACTTCATTTTAACTTTGATGGATAGTTGTCTCATTGGCAATCATACCACATCTCCTTATTTTTATATAGTAAGCTATGATAACCCTTCGACGAACCTGCTCTCGTTCTGCTTGGAAGTTAGAGATTCTGATTGTTTTTGCTACCATATATGTCTGTTATAAACCTGAACTTCAACTAAATATCAGTATACTACCTTTACATTTATGACATACATGTATATGATTTCAGTCTTTTACTTAGAGTACACCGCAAAACTTCAGTCAATTCGCCGTTTCAGAATCTAATGCATTCTTTGCAAAAACTGATGATTCTATTTTCCGAGGGCATCACTAGCCCAGGAGTAAGCTCTACTGTATTGACATGAATTATCATTGATATGGTCATAACTATACTTTAACTGTTTACAAAACTTTGCATTTTTCGAAATACTAAGGATTTTCTACCACAGGAATAGGTTAACTTAGCTGTATTTGGTAAAAACTTTCGGATTTTTGGATCTTGAATGATCTTCACCTTTATTTGGCTTTTTTATTTATTTTTTCAATCGAGCCACACTAGTAGTCTTTTGATGGCGAAACGCGCTTCTGGCGTACAAAATCTTAAGCCTGTTATCTATGATGAGTTTAATTTTCATATTCTTGCTTATATAGATAAATCAATATTGCAATGAGCCGTTATGTTGGTTAAGACCATTCCCTTTTAAAATTTAAAATTGTTATAAGTAAGCCCTTGCAGTTTCACTACTTCAAATAATCTCAAAATATTGAAGTAAACACGTAAAAAAACCCTTCTAGATTTTAACATAAATTTGTTTTCTAAATATCAGTTTACCTTGGAGTTTAGTATTTTTTTTAATACTTTTTATTGAAATATTTAAATTGTTGCAATCTGCTTTATAGGGAAAGAAGGAAACACCTAAATGCAACTACAACAATTCTACATTTGATGACACCTGTTGTCCCTCTTGCATGAATTCCCAGAATGACACCTGTAAGACATATGAATGTCCAAAAGATTATTATCATTTCAACACCAGATGTTATGGAAAGCACAATATATCAGATCCAAACAAGTTTGTATGCAAAGCGAAATGCCCTTCAAGTCATTATGGAATAACAATTAACAAAAGAAAAGTTTGCTTGGCCTGTATGATATTGTGCCAGGATAGATCTTTAAAAACAACCTGCTCATGTGAAGATATACACAAAGAGATACAATTAAAAGGAATTTTGTTATATATATTCATTGGTATATCGATTCTCCTGGTAATAACTTCCGGTTTTATGGTGGTGTATATTTGTTGTAAAAATCAGAGAAGAAATATAATAAATAATCCGGAGAAATGCATTCAGGTATTAAAAAAAACATTTGATAAATATGTTTTTTATTGAAGAGCATTCATGTATATGCCTTTCCTATCTGGTAAGCTGCCTAGACAATTTAGCTGGAAATGTTATATGCCTTTTAATTTGCTTTGTCGTGTTATGATGTTATGAAAAAATGTTGAAGAAATTATTTTTATGATACATTATTTGCAGATATATTGTTTTCATAATTTCCCGCTTGTATCTCTATCCCAGGGTTGATTAAAACTTTTTCTCGTACAGATTTTTTTATCTGAAGCATCTAACGTAACTAACTAACACAGTGATTTCATTAGACCAATACCATTGATTTCTCTCGAAAACTTTAACATCTTTTAACAAAACGTAATGCTAATACATAGTTTTTGTTTATGCATGCATGTCTCCAGACATAGGTATTGCATAACGGTCAATCAAATAATGATTTCTTCCGTAAAACTTTCAATGAGATTACATGGTTGAAAAGATTTTTGTTGGCAGCAACCCTCTGTTAGGGAAACGCAAATAGATAACGAAAAAACACTTAATTCAAACTATTATATAATGGACACAGGAACAAGTGAACCAATACTACGTTACAGTCAAATCCGCCATAAAATAGGCTTAAGAGTATTTGACCTGCTGATATGACATCATTTGGTCTTACACTTACTTATCGGTGGATATTCGTAGTAAAGAAAAGAAAGCGGGTTAATTAGAAACCAATATTTTGAAATGATATACAAAACAATAGCAAATAAAAATACCCGAATATACAGTCAATAGTACACAAAACACTATACTTGGAAATAAAAGATTGAGAACACGAATACCCAAAATACTGGGATTATTTGAGGTTCTCTGAAATGGTAGGCAGTTCCTGTTCCACTAGGATCATCTGTCATATTGGTCATTTAAAGTACAAATACTGGGAGAAGATATCCTATATCAACGCTGTTAACATTCTAGGAAGACACAATATTGTGCAAAGACCATCTAGAATCATAAAAAATCATAAAAAATCATAAAAAATATTTTAATCACGTTTTATCGGGTCAATTTTACTGCCTGGTGGAGGTTTCTCCTCGAAGGTATCACCAGCCCAGTAGTCAGCGCTTCTGTGTTAACATTAATTAAAAGAAAGGCAAAAGATACCAAAGGGACGTTCAAACTCATAAGTCAAAAATAGACTGACAACGCCATGCCTAAAAAAGAAAAAGACCAACAGAAAAACAACAGTACACAAAACACAACATAGAAAACTAAAGACTGAGCAACACGAACTCCACCAAAAATGGGGGTAATCTCAGGTGCTCCGGAAGGGTAAGCAGATCCTGCTCCACATGTGACACCCGTCGTGTTGCTCATGTTAGTACAAACCCTGTACTAAGTCTAATTCGGTAGGTCACATTCGGGGAAAGGGGGACGGGATTGTAGTTACGACAATTGGAACATTTCCGCTATCATCTGTGAATATGATAATGATTATAAATTAACTGTTTATTAAAAATTGATTTTTTTCGAGATACTTAGGATGTTCTACCCCAGGAATAGAAAACCTTATCTGTATTTGAAAACCTTTCGGTATTTTGGGTCCTCAGTGCTCTTCAACTTCGGGCTTTATTTGGGCCTTTTAACTTTTTTGGTTCAAGCGTCACTGATGAGTCTTTTGGAGACGAAACTCGCGTCTGGCGTACAAAATTTTAATCCTGGTATCTGTGATGAGTTAATTTAACTAGAGCAAAGGGAACTGACATTAATTCAAATACATGCAAACAGAATGGTTAAACAACAACCGTCTTATTATGATTCTCAACCTTAAATGTGATATTATCATGATTGTTTCAATCGAGCTTAAGATTGTCACCGTTTACTATTCAGAAATTCATTGTAATCGGTATATATTGGTATCATTATCCGTGATTTACTTGTTCGTCATAATCTGATAATCAGTATTTACCAGAAATAGGGAAATCTTTGAAAAAAACAAAGATTGCATATATTTTTCTGTTCTTCAAATAACTAAATGTCAATATAACAACAATTCGTGCAGAACAGGTTTTAATCAAGTTGCTATATACATTCTATCTTTTAGGTTGACGAACGCGACATCATGGAAAATTATCCTGCATCAAATGTTGACAAAACCCGTACGGAAGCAGAAAATTTAGGTGGAAAACCAAAAGCTTCTTCAGTTGCAAAAGAGGCTCAAATACACCTTGATAAAAAGACAAGATACACAAAGGACCCAACAGTCATTGTGGAACAAGGAAAGGTACCATTTTCCCTATATTTTGTGAAAGATAAAAATGCATATCTTACGTGGTATGTTTCAAGTTTTGTCAATGATGTAGATCTCTGGCAAATATTTTTTCATGCCTGCTAACGCCGGATTCTCTCCAATCTGGGATAGCGGTGCAACATCACATCACTCCATTTGAAAAAGGCATGACCTACCCCAACCCCCTCCCCTTAAATCGGCAATAATCTCAGGTTTACAAAAAAGACAAAGGCCGAAAGGAACTACCACAAGAGCACTCACATGCACTTATAGCCAGCTCAAGCCAGCTAAAACTTGTCAACAAAACATGTCTTCCAAGACTTACACCTCAAACAGTACACAATCAGTGGACATAGTGTTAAGACGTCATACACAGTCTGAGAAAAGCATGGCCTTGTGAAAAGCAATTATAAGAATCAACAGGATGTAGTACCAAACGTGTTGATAATACAAAAAAAATCAATTGATATAAATACCGACGAAGACAATTCAAAGATCTTACAACAATGTTAAACTGTGCAGGATATATAAGTACGCAGCCACGTCCAGTCAGAATGGGGACGTTAAATCCAATGCCTCGTGTAAAGAGAGTGTCACGCTTGCACGTTAAGAACCCTTGCAACAACAGTTTAAGGGCTCCGCAAGTGCCCTGTTGCAAGGCTATATTTCTGTCCATAAGCAATGTACCCATACTTACCAGTTGCAGTCCAAATTTCCCATACCTTCACCCCTGAACGGTCTCTATTACAAGACCTACATATCATAAGTAATGTTAATTTGTTCTCGTCCTGAACAAGCATGAAATATTTGCCAATGGACGTAAAGCAACCAACAATCAATCAATCCTATGTAAAAATGGGAAAATGAGAAAAAAATTGAGTAGAAAAATTAAAAAAAGTTATTTTTAATTTTTTACGTCTATTGACAACGTATATTAGTTTTGGCCTTGGATGCCTCCATAATGTACTTTATACTTCGTAGTTTTTTAATTCACCAATGTTATGTTCTAATTAAATCTTTATCCAGTGACAATTTGTACAGATCATTTAGATATAAGTCCTACTTCATATTTTGGTTATACTGTTTTAGTTCTAAAAGTACATAATAGACTTGGACAATATTAATGGAAAAAAACGGATATTGGACATGCCACGAATAAAGCATATAAAGCACACTTCAACACATAAAACAGACATTCAGAATTACCGCGTGATCTTCAATACGTTTGTGAAATCATCAACAAACAGTAAGATCTGAACGGCTCCAACAAAAGGAAAAAGATCAAATATAAGGTCGCAGCATAATATTGTAAACTAAATTTTACTGAGAAGAGATATAGGTAGCACTCCACAGTTAGGTGTGTAGTTTCGCAATTTGGCCCCTGTGGATGTTTCAAATATGAAAGCTAGTGTGCAATAAAATTCATTTTTGGATAGCTGAAGATTAATATAGCCTTCATAGTGGGTTTATAGGAACATCTAGATAGTGTAATGCATGTATGTTGGGCTGTTTTCTGTATGGCAGTCCGTATTTTCATATCCATATCAGACATCGGTCCGGCAGTTATTGCATTGTTTTTTTCTAACTTTTTGTCGCACGAACTTTGTGATTTAATTTTACGAAAAAATGAGGCGAAAGACACCCTATTTTTATTTGTTCATTTGGTAGATTAATGTCAACAGTTTCAGAAAAGGTATCGCTCATAGGCATTGAAATTCTAGTTTAAACCAAATTTTGGGGGAATATGTGACATTTTCATGCCCTCTTTTGCAATATTTTATGATAAATAAATGCAGAATGTTGCCACTGATACACAAAAAAGGAATTATTTTTCACCATTTTAACTTTTGAAAATTTAATCTATGGAAGATACTGATTACATACATATGTACAGTGTATGACACAAATAGTTGGTTTAATGTATTAGAAAGCATGGAATAGAAGATTTTGTGGTTCAATTTTAATTTTATTTTCTAATTGTGGAGTGCTAACATACCATTGACCGACATATATCGGGGTTGGAACAAGCGCGTAACATATGCGGCGGGGGTTTTACTAATTTAATTGGAACCCAAACCTTCCCTTATTTTTGGTCAGAGGTAAAATAAAAAAGACCATAGGACTCATGGTAAAACTAGATAAGAGTAGAAAACCGAAGCGTAGATAAACAAAAAGGAAAAATCAAGAAACATAAACAAATCCGGGGACAAGAAAAAAGGTAAATTTCTCAAAGAGGTGGTGGGAAACAGTGAAATGTATCAATAACAAAGGGACAAGATCTGATGTCATTCGGGACCAAAACAACTATATATAATAACGATAATAATATTCAATATTACATCGGTGATCCGTTTATTTGGCAATCGCGAATGGCAGTCAGCATGGTTTAAGAACATTTGTTGTTCGACCTGTTATATTAGTCAAATGCGTTTTGTTAAAATATACTTTTTCACTTTTTTGGTCTTTTGGAAAATGTTGTTTGTGCTGTATTTAGACCCCTCTAACAAGATAGGTTTGAACGTTGTTTTCAATTTAGACTTGTTTATATATATATATATATATATATATATATAACATTGTTGGGCTGATGTTTAGACGAGTTGTATATACAGAATGTACACAGCCATGTATCACCATCACTGCTGGTGGTCCGATGGATAAATCTGTTGTAGAGTTGTCACTGGTTTAGACGTACTTATATATATATATATATATATATATATAAGTCTAAATTGAAAACAACGTTCAAGCCTATGATTGCGTTGGATAAAACCGCAATTTTTATACGTGTGCATGTAAAACAAATTTCTTGGTAGAGGGGTCTAAATACAGCACAAACAACAATTTCCAAAAGACCAAAAAAAAGTGAAAAAGTCTATTTTAACAAAACGCATTTGACTAACAGGTCGAACAACTGATGTTCTTAAACCCTACTGACTGCAATTGGCGATTGCCAAATAAATTGATCACCATATCTAACAAAATGGATCTTAATATTAATTTAATACCAAACAGAAAACAATAAACTTGTGGAAAAGATGGTACACCACAAACATGAGGTGCAAAAATTTGTACACCATATCCGGATTTCGAAAATTAATGTCTCTTCAGTGATGTTAGGGATCGAAACGGTATTTGGAAGGCCATATAATTTACCTCAATTTAGGAAAGACTCTTGAATTTTAAAGAGTCGAAATAGGATGAACGGATCATATAAACCCGAAGGAAAATATAATACAAGCCCAAACGAACAAATATATAAAAGTCTAAATTGAAAACAACGTTCAAACCTATGATTGCGTTGGATAAAAACCGCAATTTTTATACGTGTGCATGTAAAACAAATATCTTGGTAGAGGGGTCTAAATACAGCACAAACAACATATATTTGTATATATATATATATATATATATAAACAAGTCTATATATATATGTGTGTGTGTCTGAATGTGTGACAACTTAACGACAGGATGAGATATTATTATACAGGGCTAAAACCATAATTTATATATACTTCGTCCAAAAGTTAGCCAAACAATGTTTTCGTTAGCTCACGGAGAAAGGCATTACTCGACTAACAAACGCTATTTCTTCAATATAGCCTAGTTTGCATAGTGGTTTATGGCGTTGTACACTGTGCATGCAGTGTTGCCACGGCGTCATAGATTCAGGGTTCAAATCCCCCAGAGGGAAGAACAAAATATTTGCTGACCACAATTTGCAGATCGTCTGTCATAAATTTGTCACATATTTAGTCATATATAATAAAAGGAATATTGATGTGCATGCAAAGTAAGTAAAGGAGTAGGTTCGATAAGGCCCTAAAATGGCCCCTATTTCTAGTTAATATTTCAAATTGGGATTTATTGACCACTATTACAATTATTCATAGCTAATACAGTGACTAGATAGGAAATATGTGTTTTTGTTGAAAATTTACGTACTGGTGTTCTATTCATGACGTCACAAATAGCACTCATTTTGATTTTCCAAGAAAATTCAATGAAAACAGGTAAATTTCCATTGATTTTTTGACAGAAAACATAGAGCGCATACGTCGACAGAAAAAAAGCTTTTAAAATAATGTTTGTTATGCCATTTTACATGACTAACTTGAATATTTAGTTTGTCGACGCCTGCGCTCTATGTTTCCTAGGCTTTAAATTGGTTGAAATCCGGCCGATTTTTTTCAAATTTCGAAAAATCTCTTTTTGAGACCTATTTGGGATATAAAAATCAACGCTTAAAAAAACGTTGAGAAAAATAGTCAAATGTGACGTCACCCCTTTATTTGCGTTGATCTCTTTAGCTAACTCGGCTGTGAATTTTTATGTGCTGGTTTATGTTGTTTTATGTATCTGTTTTTATTCTGTAGTTAGTCACCACTTCGGTGTTATCATGTATATCTATTATATAGTCATTTTTATAAATTTACTGTTTGCAAAAGTATGAATTATTCTAAATACTTAGGATTTTCTTATCCCAGACATATAACCTTAGCCGTATTTGGCACAACTTTTTGGAACTTTTGGTCCTCAATGCTCTTCAACTTTGTACTTGTTTTGGCTTTCGAACTATTTTGATCTGAACGTCACTGGTTAGTCTTGTGTTGACGAAACGCGCGTCTTGCGTATTAAATTTTAAACCTGGTACCTTTTGTTAGCTATTATTCGTATGTTTCTCTGTCCTATATGTTCTCCCATTTATTTGTATTGTAGTCCTGTCATGTAATGTTGTCATTTTAATGTTATATTTAACATTGCCATAAAAGCGGGAGGTTTGCCTAGCCACAAAGCCAGGTTCAACCCACCATTTTTTCTTAAAATGTCCTGTACCAAGTCAGGAAAATGGCCATTGTTATATTATAGTTCTTTTCTGCGTGTGTTACATTTTAATGTTGTGTTTCTGTTGTGTCTAGTTCTCCTCTTATATTTGATGTGTTTCCCTCAGTTTTAGTTTGTAATCCGGATTTGTTTTTGAATTAATTATGAATTTCGAACAGCGGTATACTACTGTTGCTTTTATTTATATTTAAATTTCTCACATGTCTTTTAATCGACGTAAAACATTTTATATCTTGAAACATTGACCTTAATAATCGGGGCCAAATATGGCACTAACCAAAAATACTCCTTATCATCCTTTACGACAGACAAAACAGCTGATCTACAAGGTATACCATCTACTTGCCACTAGACATCATGTACTGTGTTACAGCCCTAGATAAAGCAGTCTGGGAAAGACATGACTCGAATAACGAAAGCTAAATTTTTATAAAGCCTAGTTGCTTGCTTGTGCAGCTGACGTTGCCACGATGTTAAAGAAGCATGAGTTTGAATTCCGCTGAGGGGAAACAACTGGATTGGTGAATCAAAAATCATAATTCTAGTAAAACAGACAAAACTATTGCCAAATGGGAAAAAAAGACAAATAAAATATTAGAATTACAAGAAAACACACAGTAAACGAGGAGGAAAAAAATACAAAGCACATCACAATCTTGATATGAACTCATATATATATATTATGCTAAAGAAGATTTAGCAGTTACTGGTCCACTGTTAAATATAGACACATAGTTTCAGTCAACCAATCCGTCATGGCCGTAAAACTAGTTTAGTGTCGGTGTCTTTTTTATAAACCTGTCGGAGCGTTAAGTAAACATCTTTTTTTATGAAATTCGTATTAAGTAAATAAATAAACAGTAGTATACCGCTATTCAATAGTCATAATTCGATTAAGCAAAAACAAATGCGTGTAACAAACTAAAACCGATGGAAACACATCAACTTTAAGAGGAAAACAACGAAACAACAGAAACACTGAACTACAAAAAAATGCAAACGCCAACATACATACATGGAAACGGACTGAGTGATAATAATAAACGTCACCTATCAATTGATATGTAAACGCCATTCAATGGGAAAGATAGTGTATGTTACTACTGATAAATTATTAAAAAGTGGAAAAAGGAGAATCAGTCAATGACAAAATAGAAAAACGACGGAAAAGCAAACAACAGTCTACCAAACACTGCATTAAAAACTAAAGACTGAGCAACAGGAACACCAACATGTACCGGTGGTGATCTCATGGTGAGCAGGCCATGCTCCACATGTGGCACTCGTTTTGCTGCTCATAGTAAGTAAACTTTCGGTATTAGGTATCATTGGATGATGTCACAATCGATGAAAAGAGTATGAGAGAATGGCAATTAGAAACATATCCGTCATCATCTGTGACACAAATATTTCATAACGGTCAACCAAATCATGATTGCGCCTATAAAACCTCCGAAGTGATGACTTCAACCTTACCACTAGGAACCACTAGCAGCTGGCATTTGGACAACTGAAATGTCTGTCAACAATAATAGTTTAAAGTCTCCTATTGTGTCAAATAAAAATAAGTCTAGATATATGAAACAAACCTTCAGAACCCTTAATGCCAAGTTCATTGGTATATATGAGCTTAAGCACGCGCCGAAATGTGGGACATTGAGTAACAGGACACTCTCAATATTCTAGTCGCTGAACGTGAAACTATAGAACTTTATAGCAAGATATATTTACCTGTCGAATTAAACATCTTTTTTTAGATTGTAAATATAGATTCTTACATTGGTACCAGTGATTTATTGGATCTATGCAATCGAGATAGTTAAATTATAAAATTTTAAATTCTATAATTTAACTATCAAGATTGAATTTTTAAAAAAACGAAAGATTATCAAATAAATTTTCATTTTTGATAAACGAAAATCCACTTTGATTGCCTTGTACATTCCTGATTTCTACGTCATACCAATATAAAGTTGTCAATTTCTCTAACACATTTCGATACATCCAGAGACCTGGAAAAGGTTATGAAGTTTTTAACTTTGCCAATCATCAACTGAAATCATCCGCAACCACACCTTGATTAATTTTTTGTAAACAATGGGTCCAGAAGGGTTAAATTGTCAAAGAATTAGAGAAAATGTTTTTCAGTATGCCAGGCACTTATTTCTAAATAAACTCTGAAAATACCAAGTAGTCACTTTTAAATATAAGTAAATTACTATGATAGTAACGTAGATGTATGAATAATCAAGATTGTTAAACACGCAAATTATCAGCAGAAAGAAGTAGGAATAAACCAATGTTATGTATATGAGCTTACATAACGTATTATTAACACCGAAAGTAAAATAACTAATAATATATTATTTTATGTATTTGTAGAAATTTCAAAAACACATATCAGGGAGACCTCTAAGTAGTGCATATGTAAACGCAAGTTCTATAAGAAGAAATAAAAATTATAACAGTGAGACCAATAAAATAAACAAAACGACATTTCAAGGCACAAAATGCAACCTTTCGAAAAAAAATGATGACGAAAGGAATATCAAAATATCTAAAGACGGCGGCACCCTTAGTGTGGGAAATGGAAATACACTGAATGAAGATAGAAAAGAAGGCGATTCTGATACGGTTGGCGAGATTAAAGATGAAGATCCAGAGGGGAAGGGGTATGACATTCTTTCTCCCAAAGATGAAACAATCGAAATCACTGACATCGAAAATATTACTCAATCGAATAATCTCGGTATGATAAAAGAATCCAAAGCAACTTCTTTCCAAAAATCAGATTTTATATCCAAATCATCAAAAACAATTATACCTGTGCAAGAGCCTTTTGTCCAAACCTTGCCAGAATCAGATATCCATCAATACGAAAATTACCAAGGTTCAACAAGCGACGTCGATAATATTAACCCTACAGAAATTGCAGCTAGCGGAAACACCTCTGTGTCTGATATGCGTCAATTATCTTCTAATACAAATGTCAATGAGAAAATTGCATCGATTGGATTAAACAATTTTCAATCAAACAGATGTAGTCAAGATAGTTCAGATAGCAATAGGTCTGAAGATTCGTACAAATCCGCACGTAGCCATGCTTCACTACCGGAGGATACAATGGAGCAAAAATCCTCAAATGAAGAACAAACTACAATAGAAATTGATACAACAAACAATGCCAGTGTGAAAAATGATGTAAAGAACATTACAGTACTGAAAGGGTCATTAGACGTAACAAAGATTGCAAGTCAGCCAAATATCAATGTAACTGGAACAAACTTGTCTTTAAACTTTTATGGCAAAACAAATTAAGACAGTATCGCTTTTTATAGTTATGTATAGGTAAGATAATGTGTCAATTTAATTTAAATCCCATTAAATGAATTAAAAGTAGCGTAGCATTAATGCGAATAAGGTAGAGCCGAACTAAATATATAAATGTAGACATCGAAAGAGTGCAACACAATATGCATCTTCTGGAAATGACGCTTTGATAAAATATACAATACTAACTAGTATCTCTATTGTTTGTAAAACAATTGAAAGGGGTTTCCCTTAAAAGTCTGATATTTGTAATGCACTCTTTACGACCTTTCACTTGATATGTGACGGTTCGTTCTCGAAATATAATTAATCAAAAATTGTGTATAATATTTCAAGGGAAATATCTCTTATAAGGATTGATAACAAATAAATTGTTTATGTTTATTAACATATTCCTGCACATGTTGCCATTTTCAAATCGATTCTATCTGTAATAATTTTAAAGAAAAATGCAAATAAAAGAAATTGTTTCAAGGGGATATAACTCTCAAAGGGGATTATGAAATCCTACGCAGCCTCATCTGGAAATACTTCATGATGAGATCCTCCTTTTGTTTAAATAAAGTCATGATATCTTCAAAAACAACGACGGGGAGGGGAGGGGAAGGGGGGGGGGCATGTCGAAAAAAATCCAATAAAAGGGAGATAACTTCTAAAGGTGATGATGAAATCCTACACAGGGTCATCTGGTAATACTTTATGATGAGGTCGATCGACGGTCCATATTTGGTTATGATAACTTCAATAGAAACAGACAGGGGCCATGTAAAAAAAACAGAAAAAAAAATTTAAAAAAAATTAGAAAAACAATAAAGTCTTTCCTCACGTAGTGGAAAGACCTTAATAATGTTGATGTAACAGTAACACTCTAAAATTAAAGGGGCATATCGAACGCCAAAAATAAACTGATAAATCTTTTTTCTGTCAGATGAACATCACCCTCAAAGAAAATGAAATTTCACAAAGTAAAAGGATAATCCCTCTGTCTGCCATAAATATAATATTATAACTTTCTGGACAAAAAACATAAACTCAGGATCTAAAAACATGCAGACAATATTTTCATAAACAGAGTGATTTTTAAAAGTACATAACGATGGATAAAAATGGAAAGAACATGTAAAATTCTTTAAATCTTTCCAAACTATATTGATTTTATTGATACTTGAATAAAACAACTTTAATCTAATTCAAAATGCACTTATGCCGACATTATGATGGCTCAAACATGTCGAAATTGAACATATCTGAACTAAAATGCTATTTTACAGGTAGTTTTGCCAAAATTAGATTAGGGCAAAAGGCGTTACACAATACGATATGTTACCAACGCGGACATGGATACATTGTATAAGACATCTTGTAGCAAATTTACATTTTTGAGTTAGGCCTTAACTCATGTCTGTGAATGTTTATGTCTAGCACTTTTAGCAGTAATTTTGGCAGTTTTAAGTTCACATTCATATGTTTTATTGTTAGTTCTACATAATTGTAATATTCAACAAAAAGTTATAATCGATATAATCACATGCCTGTTAATACAAATCGATGATGCAGTGAGTTTTCTCATGGCAGTAAAAATCCAAGATGATATAAAAGAAATGAGAGAAAAAGAGACACGCGTGGCGATAACTGATTTGCTGATGATATGTGTAACAATATGTTGATGATAAAAAGCTCTTAGTATTTTGTCAGTTTTTGTATATTTTTTTTTACTAATTTGACATATGAGACTTTATATACAAAGGAAGTGATAGAAGTCATTCCAAGTGTATTGTTATGAAGTATAGAATAACAGCTTAAAAACGTTCTGCAATGAATAAATTACAAAAATAAATCGATAACATTAGTCCCTTTTTGCGCTTTGTACAAAAATGAGCCTTGGTCAATGTTTTAACACTCCAATACAACTAAAAATGGTTCCTGTCCATTTTAAAGGTGTTTTTTTCCTTCCAGAATGTCTTCATTTGTGACTATAACTTTTGTTGAAAAATTGGCATTTCACTGCAAAATTTCAAAATCTTATTTTCATTTGTTGAAGAGAATTAATCAAATTCATGTTTTATGCAATCTTTTAAATGTATAGCAGGTTGGTTTGTGTCCATGACACTCTTTCACAAACTAGGAATGACCAAATATAAAAATAGTAATAGCAGTAACCCACATTAACTAAAGCTTAATGTAATACTCAATATTTCCATATAGGTAAACAGTTTTTAGCTCACCGGGTCCCGAAGGGCCCCATATGAGCTTATGCCATCACTTGGCGTCCGTCGTCTGTCGTCGTCGTCGTCTGTCGTCGTCTGTCGTCGTCGTCGTCGTCTGTTGTCATCTGTCGTCGTCTGTCGTCGTAAACTATTTCAAAAATCTTCTCCTCTGAAACTACTGGGCCAAACACCTTCAAACTTTAACTAAATGTTCCTTAGGGTATTTAGTTTATAAATTGTATCCGAAGTTTTGATCCATCGACAAACATGGCCGCCATGGCTAAAAATAGAACATAGGGGTCAAATGCAGTTTTTGGCTTATATCTCAAAAACTAAAGCTTTTAGAGCAAATCTGACATGGGGTAAAATTGTTCAATTGGTCAAGATCTATCAGCTCTGAAATTTTCAGACGAATCGAACAACCCATTGTTGGGTTGCTGCCATCGAATTGGTAGTTTTAACAAAATTTTGCAGTTTTTTGTTATTATTTTGAATATTACTATAGATATATATAAACTGTAAGCAGCAATAATGTTCAGCAAAGTAAGATCTACAAAAAAGTTAATATGACCATAATTGTCAATTGACCCCTTAAGGAGTTATTGCCCTTTAAAGACAATTTTACACAATTTGTTCATCAAGTTTGCTAACATTTAAAAATCTTCTCCTCTAAAACTACTGGGCCAATTACCTTCAAACTTTAACTAAATGTTCCTTAGGGTATCTTGTTTATAAATTGTATCCGAAGTTTGTATCCATCGACAAACATGGCCGCCATGGCTAAAAATAGAACATAAGGGTCAAATGCAGTTTTTGGCTTATATCTCAAAAACTAAATCATTTAGAGCAAATGTGACATGGGGTAAAATTGTTTAATTGGTCAAGATCTATCGGCCCTGAAATTATCAGACGAATCGAACAACCCATTGTTGGGTTGCTGCCACCGAATTGGTAGTTTTAACAAAATTTTGCAGTTTTTTGTTATTATTTTGAATATTACTATAGATATATATAAACTGTAAGCAGCAATAATGTTCAGCAAAGTAAGATCTACAAAAAAGTTAATATGACCAAAATTGTCAATTGACCCTTAAGGAGTTATTGCCCTTTAAAGACAATTTTACACCATTTGTTCATCAAGTTTGCTAACATTTAAAAATCTTCTCCTCTGAAATACAGGTGAGCGATTCAGGCTCTTGAGAGCCTCTTGTTTACTATCTAATTCAATTGATATTTCTATCGTTTGAACGTTTACTTAGACAATACTTTTCGTAAGCGGGCTACTTGATATTTTTTTTTAATGTGATTATCTACTTAAAGGGGCATTAGCTACGAGTTAGACAAAAAAATCAAAAAATTAAAATAAATAAATAATCTTTATTTCAAGAGGATCATCCCATTAGTTAAAATTAATCTTCCTGAGAGTCCTCAAAATAATAATTATAACATTTTTATAAAGTACATACAATATTGTAATGATATATACACAATATACAATTTTATGTAGATATTATTGAAAAAGCATATTAATTTGCATGATTTATGAAAAATTTGTAACATTTTGTTTTAAAAGATACAAGTGTATTACTCATCTTTATTTCATTTGGTAAACTGTTCCATATTTGAGAACCAGAATATATAAATGTTTTCTTAAAAAAAATAGTTTTTGGCTTCGGAAGATTTAATAGTTTTCCTTCAGCTGAACGTAAATTATAATTTTGATTCTCAGTAAAATGAAAGTTTTCTTGTAAATAGTTAGGAACCATATCCTTTAATGATTTAAATACAAGTGTTGCCGTTTGATATTGAATTCGTTTTTTCACATTTAACCAGTTAAAACTACTTAAACAATAAACTGGAGGATGTCATTATGTCAGGTTCTACTATTACCCTAGCAGATTTCTTTAAAAACTTATTTAGTTTATTTATTCCACTTTCATAATAACTACCCCAAATAATATAAAAAAATACGATTCTTTTTGTTTCAATATTAATAAAAGCGGAATTTTGAAATGATATTTCGGTATAAGCAGTTAGTTTGACCCAAATTTGTCAAAATAATCTCAAAAACATCGCTGTTTTATTATTCACTTGCAAGTGAATAATTCGACCTCATGTGAATACGTATTCATGTGAACTTCAATTTAACCCCTTAGCTGGAGATGGATTACGCACGTAATAGGCGTGTTCAGTTATTAAAAGGAAAATAATGTAAACTTTGAAAGTCAAACCAGGGTGAACCATTTCGTTGACTGATTCTATGCACAAAAAACCATTCTTATACGTATATCTATTAGTTCCAACCTGGGTAAACTTTTCAATAAGGTTTTATATAAACGTTTAGTAAAATTTATGGATATCAAAAATTTGATAAGTAAAAATCAAATTGGTTTTAAAGAGAAAAGTCGTACAGCTGACCACATATTCACTCTTAAGACCATAACTGATCAATACAGACAAAAAAAGAAAAAAGTTTTTGCTGCCTTCATAGACTTAAAAAAAGGCATTTGAAACCGTATGGCGACTAGGTTTATTTTCTAAACTCATAAAACATAATATCCCCCAAAAAATGTTTAATGTTATTTATTCAATGTATACTGATACAGTATGTAGAATAAAATTCTCTAATGGGCTGAGTCCTCCATTCCTATCAGAAAGGGGTGTTAAACAAGGTGACGTATTGAGTCCCCTACTTTTTAACTTTTTTATAAATGAACTAGTAGGTAATCTTGATAACAAACATACGGATCCAGTTGCCATTGGGGATACCTCTTTGAACATTCTTTTATATGCAGACGATATTGTTTTACTATCTGAAAGCAAAGAGGGTCTACAAAAATCTCTTGATATTTTACATGAATATTGTTCATCATGGAAACTACAAGTTAATACTGATAAATCAAAAATTATGATATTTAATTCTAATGGCAAGACATTGTTAAAACATTTTACCTATGATAATGCATATCTTGAAACGGTTACAAATTATTGTTACTTGGGTATTGTTTTAAAGTATAATGGCAATTTTTGCCTTGCTGTGAATACTCTAATGGAAAAAGCCAGGAAGGCATACTATAAAATAAAGAAAACTATAGGTCTCAACAACCCATGTAGACTTCTTGAAAAATTGTTTGATTGTTTAGTTACTCCCATTCTTACATATTGTAGTGAAATTTGGGGGTGGATTCACATTTTAAAGACTCTGATCCCTTCGAAAAACTTCATGTTAAATTTATCAAAGATATATTAGGGGTTCACTGTAAGGCATCTAATGATGGATGTCGAGCCGAACTTAATAGAATTCCCTTGAAAAATAAAATATTATATTCAATATTCAACTACCTGAACCATATAGTTTCTTCGGAAAATTCTTT